GCCGGCGTATAAGACGACCCGGCATATAAGACGACCCCCCCAATTGGAGGCATCTTTTTCAGGGCAAAAAAGTCGTCTTATACGCCGGCAAATACGGTATATTTAATTTATAATATATGTAGTTATACTGTATACTGAAAAATAGATAACATATCTTATGGCTATGGAATAGAGAGCACAGTGCATAGACTATAGTTATGTAGATTTATCTCTGATTTCTTTTTAGATACATATATGTGCTTAGTATTAATAGGACATTTTTCTCTTCTGAACCAATGACCTATATACAGGAATCACATTTATCGATATTATTAAGGCATGGTGAATTAGTATTACCAATACTATGAATAACTAGCAAGTATTAATTGTATGTGTTGTATTTATTGTACTGTCAAAAAAAAAAAAAAGACGCTGAAAGGTCTATTAGAGAAATCTTTGTCAATTTTTTTTATTATTTTGAATTTTTGTGAACTTTTTAATAATTTGAATTTCAATAAATTATTATTTTTTTTAATTAAAAAATAGAAAAGAAAAAGAAAAAAGATCCTCACTTCAGTGCTGACCCTGGTAGTGTCAGACCTGCCGCAGTCTGATCTCCCGGGAAAGTGAAACTCTCGACTCCATTTGATGGAAGGGAAAGGCACTTTTACTAAGAGATGCTGATTACAGGAGAATCAGACGGAATGTGAATTTCCCGCAGATCAATACAAAATAAGCCCCTTGGTTCCCCTTAGCCCACCCCCGCCCCGGTCCTTATGTAGTGTATATTAGAGGTGAAGAATAATAGCAATGCAGATTTAGTAAATAGTTGGACAGGGTTGAGGGAATTATTTGTTTAGCAGAGTGATGGCGTTCAGGGAAAAACTGTCCTTGTGTCTAGTTGTTCTGTTGTACAGTGCTCTATAGCGTTGTTTTGAGCGCAGGAGTTGAAACAGTTTATGTCCAGGATATGAGGGGTCTGTAGGTATTTTCACAGCCCTTGTCATGCTGACTCCGAGGGAGAGGAGGAACAGCTGACAGGGAGTGGAAGTGTGGCTTCGGAGGTTGTGGAGGAGGCTGGGGAAGGGCAGAGGCCGGCCCAGGCCTATCCCTTCTTCATCCTAGGGCACGCAGGAAGGAACAGAGAAGGGAACAACTTGGCTTACGGGAGAGGAAGTGGCCATGATCCCCCTCATTGGCTGCAGCTGGGGTGAATAGTATAAAGGAGGGGTGTTTAAAACACAGAGTTGCTAGAAGCAAAGCGTGTTTTATTTCTGGCTGAGGTTGATCTTGGTTGGCGTTCTTCCAACGGACTGTGCCTTGTTATCTTCTTGAAGTTTGTAATTAATTATCCTGGTGCTGTCGTGGAAATTCCTTCAGTGCAGTTTGTTTGGTTTTTTTTATTTCTCCGTTATCTGTTCTTTGAGTTTGGACTGTATTTCTTTCATTTGGAGATTATTTTGGAAAGAGTTTAATCTCCAACTGCGAACCATTGAACAGTGAGGCCAAGTTGGAGGCATTAAAGGAGATTTATTTACGTTTGGGGATTTATTGCATGTGTGCTGCTTCCTGGGTCATCACAGCCCTCCTTTTTGACTCATGAAGTATACAGGTCCTCGATGGAAGGCACGTTGGTAGCCATTGTTTTTTCTGCACTCCCAATTACTCTCCAAAGTCTGTGTCTGTCTTGTTGGGTTGCAGAGCCAAACCAGACAGTTACAGAGGTGCAGATGATCGACTCAGTAACTCCTCTGTAGAACTGGATCAGCAGCTCCTTGGATAGAAAGCTAACCCTTTGCTAACGGAGGTCTCCCTTTCTCGGTTCCCTGAACAGAAAAACCGCAAACGACGGAACCGGAAGAAAAAAAAGAAGCAAAACGCCCCTTCCAAAAGTAACCAGGTTTCCCAGGCTGCCAAGGGACACGAGGAAGAATCGGGAAGTGATGCCCCTGTGGAAATTGAGTACGTGACCGAAGAGCCGGAAATCTACGATCCCAATTTCATCTTCTTTAAAAGGATATTTGAGGCATTCAAGGTATGATCAGATCTGGTGTTCCAGAGCAGTGCAGAGATGCAAAGAGAGACACAGTCAGGGGTGGAGATAGATCTTTTTGACTGTTGTTGAGACTCCAGGGGGAAAAAACTCTAGAAAATGTTGAGACTCGAGATGTTGAGACTCTAGAAAAAGTGCAGAGAAGAGCAACCAGGATGATGAGGGGACTGGAGGCTAAAACTTACAAAGAACGGTTACAGGAACTGGGCCTGGCTAGTCTAGTGAAGAGAAGGACCAGGGGAGACAGGAGAGCAGCCTTCCAGTATTTGAAGGGCTGCCCCAGAGAAGAGGAAGGGGTCAAGCTATTTTCCAAGGCCAGACAAGGAATAATGGATGGAAACTGATCAAGGAGAGATTCAACCTGGAAATAAGGAGGAATTTCCTGCAACCTGTTCCGCCTTCTGAGAATTCCCTCCCCAACTCTTGTCCTCCCTTCCTCACAGCTGACCGACGACGTTAAGAAGGACAAGGAGAAAGAACCGGAGAAAACAGACAAGTTGGCCGCTTCGGCTTTGCCAAAGAAGAAGGGATTTGAGGAAGAACGGAAGGACAGCGACGACAGCTCTGATGATGAGCAGGTGTGTGTGTGTGTGTGTGTGAGGGGGGGAGAGAGGGAGAGGGAGAGATGTGTGTGGCAGGCTGGTGGGAAACACCCTGTTTTCCTCCTCTTTAGCCTTCTGTGTGATCCTGCGATGAAAAGAAAAGTAGTTTCTTGGTTTCGGGTTGCTAGACCAGAAATGAAACCTCCAGCTGCAGGGGCAGTTCATCCCCAGACTGTTAAGATTCTTGGGGACAGGTGGCCAAAAAAAGAGACTCGCCTCAGCACTTCTTATATAAGCCTTCCCCCTGCAAGATAAAACGGGGGAAAGGTTGCTATGTTAGATAAGAAACCTGCACTGCCGTAATAATGGCGGATAATCAAAATTGTTGGGAGGAAGTGACAGCTGCTCTCTCCAAACGAATTTCAGGAAAAGAAGCCGGAAGTTCCCAAGTTGTCCAAGAAGAAACTGAGGCGGATGAACCGTTTTACTGTGGCTGAGCTGAAACAGGTATGGCTTCCATTTCTTTTATTTATTCATTTGCCAAATTTTTATGCTACCTTCTTTACTTTATAAGTAACTTGGTAATATATACTTAATGCTCTCCTTCCCCTCATCCTCCTCTTCTTCCTCCTCCCCCTCCTTTCTCCTTCCACCTACTTCTTTTTCCTTCCTCCTCCTCCTCCTCCTCTTCCTCCTACTTCTTTCTCCTTCCTTCTGCTTTCTTTTAACATTTTCTTGGATGAAAGATATTATTCTCACTGGGCTGTAAATTGGGGTTTCGGGGTGTGTTTTTTTTGTCTCCTGAGGTTGTGATTTCTCTGGCTGGGCCTGGAGAAGTTCTATGATTGAAGACTAGAGAAATACTGTAGTGTTGTTTTTTTTTTTTTTTACAAACGCTAAGCTATTTTCATTTGATATTTTACTATGTTATAGATGAAATTAAGAGAAGAACGTTTAATGAATACTTTTTTTAGTATGTGGATATGAATACTTAAGCTACCCTATAGATTGGTGTTATTTCTTTGAAAGAGGTGGTTGTATTTTTCATTTATTTGTATCCTATCTTCATTAAGGTAGATTAGGTAATTAGGTAGATGGACAGACAGACAGATCTGTAGGTAGGTAGGTAGGTAGGTAGGTAGGTAGATAGATAGATACCGTGTTTCTCCAACAATACGGCCTCCACCAATAGGAAGACCCAGCATGTTTTCTAGGCATAAAATCAAATTAAGCCCCTCCCCCCAAATTTATGCCTAGTTTAAAACATGCAAAATAGGGGGAAGGGTGGGGGGACTTGCCATTTGGAGTGCCGTTGGAGCTACCACCGCCATTTGGAGTGCCCTTGGAGCTACTGCCGCCGTTTGGAGCTGCTGCCGCCGTTTGGAGCTGCTGCCGCCATTTGGAGCTGCCTCTGCCATTTGGAGCCGCCGCCGCCGCCGTTTGGAGCTGCTGCCGCCGTTTGGAGCCGCCGCCGCCGTTTGAAGCTGCCGCTTCCGCGTTTGGAGCACTACCGCTGTTTGGAGCACCACCGCCACTCCAAACA